AAACTGAAACAATGCCTGGTGGGCATAATGGCTGAGCTCTGTGGTCTTGCCCGGAGCAGGAAGGGTGGAGGCAGGGGATTCCTGTGGAGGCCAAATTCAGGAAGATGCCTTTGAACTGGGTAGAGAAAAGCTGTAAAAATAAGTGTGTCAACAGCAGATATCCCAGCTGAACTTAGACATTAGAGAACAAGGTAGGTTTGCCAGTCCCTGGCAAGGGACGAAGGAAGCCCTGGAGATATGACTAAGTTAAAGCTGTGGGGAGATTCACTGTGTTCCATTGCTGATGGGTTCTCAGACCCTGCAGAGTGGGAGGGAAGACAAGCAGCCAAGGAAATGGGCTGAGATGCTGGGAGTGGCATGAGCCTGCTTGTTCAGACTCCCAGAGGTCCATCTGGTCTAATTGTGGGCCCAAGGTCACTCAGCTGGGAGAAGCCAGGCCAAGATGGGAACCCAAATTGGCCTGACCGCATGCCTGTCTTACTTGTTGAGGAAATGGGACTTCCTGTGAGGCCTGGTAGATAAAACACAGGCTTTTCTCTGCTCCTTCCTGAGGACTGCTGGCACAAACACAAAGGAATGGAAAACAAAGTCATAAATAAGTCTGCCACGAGCAAGGGAGGAGGAGGAAAAGGCACATACAACTGAGAGATGCCGTGTATGTATGAATACATGCAGAGACGTGTCTATGGGCTCCCATGAGGCTTCGAAGCAGATGGGTGAGCCCTAGTGCCATGGAAGCCATGCTCGGCCTAAGGGGAGACAACAGAAGCAAAGTGAGCTGTGTCCTCAAAGCCCCCAAAGGCATCAAGAGTCAGAGGAGCAGGCAGAGCTGAGAGCAGGCTGGGTAGGGCCCAAAAGAGCACTGGTTTATGAATCCTAAATAAGAATCTAGTGGCTGGCAGGTATAGTGCACACCTTTAGTCCTAACACTCAGGAGGCAGAGGCAGGTAGAGCTCTGTGAATTGGAGGCCAGCCTGGTCCACACAATGAGTTCCAGGACAGCCCTACATAGTCCCTACATAGTCCCCCTCCCCATTCTCTGCTCTCAAAAAAAAACAAAAAACAAAACAAAACTCTAGTGGCAAAAGAAGTGGCTCAGTTAGTACTTGCCTTGCAAACATAAGGACCTGGGTTCGATCCCCAGAAGACACTTTTAAAAAGCAAGCTGAGTGTGGTAACATAGATTTATAAACCCAGCACTAAGGAGATGGAAGGAGGAAGATCCCTGGGGCTTGATGGCCAGCCAGCCTAGCCTCCTTGGTGAGCTTCAGACCAATGAGAAACGTTGTCTCAAAAGAGTGAGGCCAGTGAGGTGGCTCAATGGAAAAAGGCACATGCTGCCAAGTCTGATGACCTGAGTTCAATCCTCAGAACCTACCCAATGGAAGAAGAGACCCGACTCCCACAAACTGTCCTCTGGAAACATACCCCAACCCCCAACATATACAATTAAAGAAATCCTTTTTTTAAAGGCAGGTGGCATCTGAGAAAGGACACTTGAGGTTGTCCTGCGGCTCCCACAGACAAACACATAGGTGCATCTTCCTTCACATACACAAAGAATCTAGAGCCCTGCAGAGCAGTTGTTCTCAACCTGGGGGTCGTGACCCCTTTCACAGGGGTCACATATCAGAAATTTACATTAAGATCCATAACAGTAGCAAAATTACAGTTGTGAAGTAGCAATGAAAATAATTTTATGGTTGGGGGTCACCAGCTCATGAGGAACTGTACTAAAAGATGGCAGCATCAGGAAGGCTGAGAACCACTGCTCCAGAGATTTAACCCATAGCAATGCACAGACAAAGAAGATCTGGAGTGGGGGCCTAGAGACATAAGGAAGACTGAGGCTCACCCAGCTAAATCCAAAATGGGAGGAAGGGTGTGTTAAATGAGACATAGCATACTGCATGATGAGGGACAGCCCCAAAGCAGGCTTGTTTCCAGGGTGACCATTGGTCCTAGCATACGTGGGATAGATAGATTTCAGTACTAAAACCAGAAGCATTCTGAGAAATCGGGGTGAGCAAATGCACTTCTTACATCCTCTGAGAACTGATGGTTCTTTCCAGAAAAAGCAAGGCATGCTAGAAGTCCTGCAGAATGAGGAGGAAAAAAATGCCCTCAAGATGAAAGGGTCTCATAACCAGACAGCTTATCACCGGGTCCTGTCCCATATGTAGGTCCTCCACTTAGAGACCCCTTCACAGCACACACTCTGTGGCTAAGACTCAGGGCTGTCTGGCCACAGAGGGCAGCAGAGAGGGAAGCTGTGGCCGAGCACCTGAAGTCAGCATCAGTTGGGTCCTACACCCTAGGGATGCCCAGAAATACCCAGGGGACATTTCTGGATATGTGTGTCACTGCATGAGTGTTAGGTGACTAGACTGCCAGGAAGCAAGGCTGGGGGTGAGAGGGCCTATCTGGCACACAGCCCAGAGGAGCTGGTGTTTGGAAACAACCCAAACACCCATCAAGATGAGACTGACGAACAGATGGTGCCTATCCATACAGCAGAATAAAGAATCAAAGCACTGATTCAACAAGGGTGGAGGTCTGGAACATTCTTTGGGACTGGGGATGTAGCTCAGTGGTAGAGCACCTATGTGTATGACGCCCTGGGCTTCATCCTCAGCAACACACACACACACACACACACACACACACACACACACACACACACACACACACACACACACACACACACACACACACACACTCACACACTCACACACACTCACACACACACACACACACACACACACACACACACTCACACACACACAATCTGACTAGAGAAGGGAAACAGACATAAAAAGTCACATAGAGTGTGATTCCGTTTTGGTGAAATACCCAGAATTAATAAACCTGGGGAGGCAAAAAGCAGATGGGCATGTCCTAGGTTCTAAAGGTGGTGGAAAGAGGGAAAAGGTAATTGCCTAGTAGTTGATTTAGTTGTTTATTGTAGCTTGTTGTGAAATGTCCCCCACAAGCTAGTATGGGGTGACATTTTGGGAGTCTGTAGATTCCTTGGGATATAACTGTAGGGTGACATCCACCTCTGCACTAACCCAATCTCTCTGCAACCTGACCTGCCAAGGTGTGGAACAAATGCACTGCAAGTTTCCACAGCCACACAGCATGGCTTCCTCAAAATGATGAACTGTTCTGTTGGGGAATGTCATTTTAACTGGGCAAAGATGCGTTACATTTGTTTATGCTGTGGAACATTACTTTAACTGTGTAAAGGTGTGTTAAATTTGTTTATGCTGCATTTGTTTAACCATGTAAGGGTGTGTGTTTAATTGTATAAAGAGGAAAAAAAAAAAAAACACTTAATGGGTTGGGCAGTGGTGGTGCACACCTGTAATCCCAGCACTCAAGAGCCAGAGGCAGGTGGATCTCTGTGAGTTCAAGGCCAGTCCGGTCTACAAAGCAAGTTCCAAGTCAGCCAAAGCTGTTACACAGAGAAACCCTGTCTCAAAACAACAACAACAACAACAACAACAAAATGAATGGCCAATAGCTAGGCAGGAGGAGAAATCCAGGCTCAAGAAGGAGAAGGAGAAGTAGAAGGAGAAGGAGAAGGAGAAAGAGAGAAAAAGAAAGAAAGAAAGAAAGAAAGAAAGAAAGAAAGAAAGAAAGAACCAGGAGGAGGGATATGCCTGGGGCAGAAACCAGGCAGCCAGCAGCCAGAAGTAAGGAAAGCAGGAAAGTAAGATATACAAAAAGTAGGTAAAAAGTCCTCAGGCAAAATATAGATGAAGAGAAACAGGTTAATTTCAGAAAGAAAGAAAAAAAGCTAGCCAGAAATGAGCATAAGCTTAGGCCAAACACTGATAACTAATAAGTCTCCATGACATGATTTGGGAGATGGTTGGTGGCCCAAAAGAAAAGAGCTGGTACACTGTTCCCTCTGAAACCAAAAACCAGAGTATGCCTCTCCTCCCCCAAGCTGCTTCTGCCAGGCATTCTGTCTCAGTGATGAGATACTGAACTTAATGCAAGGCTCATGGAATGTTCTAGAACTAGACAGAAGTGATGGGTTCTCAGATTTCGGGTGCACAAATATCACCAAGGTGAAAACTTTGTGGATAGTTAATTAGAGGCAGGTGAGATGGTCAGCAGGTAATAATGCTTGATCCCTAGACCTACAAGCAAGGAGAGAAATGATTCCATAGAGTTGTCCTCTTCCCTCCACATGAGCCATGGCATGTGCAAGCCCACACTACACACACACCCCCACCCCCCCCCCCCCCCCCCCCCCCCCCACACACACACACACACACACACACACACACACACACACACACACACACACACGAATAATAATATTGTTGTTATTAGTATTAATCATCACCATTATTATTTTTACAAGGTTAATTATAGCCAGGAAAATGAGGTGAGCCTGGGCTACACATTGAGACTCTGTGTATAGGAGAGTTGGCAATTTTATAAATTCAACAAAACAAAACATGATTTTATTTTTTTCTCCATTTTTTTGCAGATTTTTTTATTTGAATTAGAAACAAGATTGTTTTACATGTCAATCCCAGTTCCCTCTCCCATCCCTCCTCCCCTACCACCCCTCCAACTAAAACCCTACCTATCACATATCCTTTCTGCGCCCCCTGGATGGTGAGGCCTTCCATAGGGTGTCATCAGAATCTATCATATCCTTTGGGATAGGGCCTAGGCCCACCCCCGTGTGTCTTGGCTCCGGGAGTATTCCTCTATGTGGAATGAGCTCCCAAAGTCCACACCTATGCTAGGGATGAGTACTGAACTACTACAGGAGGCCTTGTAGATTTCCAAGGTTTCCTCACTGAAACCCATGTTCCTGGAGTCTGGATCAGTCACATGCTGGTATCCCAGCTATCAGTCTGGGAAGCAAGAGTTCCCCAATGTTAGGGTCAGCTGTTTCTGTGGGTTTCGCCAGCCTGATCTGGAACCCTTTGCTCTTCACTCGTCCTTCTCTGCATCTGGATTCCAGTTCAGTTCTGTGATTAGTTGTGGGTGTCTGCTTCTCCTTCCACCAGGTGCTGGATGAAGGCTATCAGGTGGCATATAAATCAGTCATCAATCTCATTATCAGGGGAGGGCATTTAAGGTCACCTCTCCTCTGTTGCTTAGATTGTTAGCTGGTGTCATCTTTGTAGATCTCCAGACATTTCCCTAGTGCCTGATTTCTCTGAGAACCTAAAATGTCTCCCTCTATTATGGTATCTCCATTCTTGTTATCTTCTATTCTTCCCCTGACTCAACCTTTCTGCTCCCTCATGTCCTCTGCATCCCTCCTCTTCTTCCCTTCTCATTCTCCTAGCTCCCTCCCCCGTCTTCCCGTGCTCCCGATTTCCTCAGGGGATCTTGACCCTTTCCATGTATGTCTCTCTTAGGGTTCTTCTTGTTTCCTAGCTTCTCTGGCAGTGTGGATTGTAGGCTGGTAATCCTTTACTCTTTGTCTAAAACCCATATATGAGTACATACCATGAAAAACATGATTTTAAAGCTAGTCCAAGAAAACTGGAGAGCCAATACAGTGGGACCATCTCACCCATCTAGCCCATGCAAACACAAACACCCAGCTCAGATCTTCTAATCCACTCCACACAGGCCCTGTTCTCAAGAGTTCCCAGGGAGGAGCAGGGCAGAAGACAGGCTGGCTCCATGAAGGCTGTGGCTACACTGAGCCCAGAGACACCCCTCTCCAGAGCTAGGGAGTGGATCTTTATCTTATTGCTAGGGAGTCCTACTGTTGAAAATAGATGAATCAGATGCCAGATTGATGGGGAAAACAGAACACAGCAAACTGGAAACTCATTCCTCTTCCCCTTTCTCTCCGGAGCAGTCACCAGAGTCCTAGACACCCACCCTGCAAGCCCTCAGTGGGCTCTGCAGTCCTCCAGCATGCAAGAAGTCCCACGGGTTTCCAGAATTTTCTCATGAGAAATTGCCAATAACCAGATACCACAGACCATGCTTTGTGTAACTGTGCTTAGATTTGTTTAAGAAACAAAATTAGGAAGGAAAGGCACACTTTTTTTTCCCTCATTAAAGCCTGGGGGAATTGTTGGTATTCCAGCCTGGTCTCCAGAGGCCTCTTTCTGCTCTGAAGGAGTGTAAATACACAGCATTCCAGCCAGCCACAGATAGCCCAGAGGCCTGTCACAGCCTCGGCCCAGGAATGCACAGGCCCTAGCAGCCTAGCAGGCCTGCTTGCTCCATATGCCTCCCAGGAAACTGCCCACAGTCCCTAGACTATGGGACAACCTGTTTCTCTTTACAACAAAATATTTTTTTCTTCCCTGACACCAAGGAATTTTACATTTGAAGTCACAAAACAGAAGGCAGGTTTATCTACCCATGGAGCTGCTCAGATTGGTGGAGAAATTAGGGACCCTGACTTCATGCATATCCTTAGAATTTGCCTTTGGAACAACCGAGGGGCTCCCCACACCACTGTTTGCTGACTCTCCGACCGGGCCCCATCTTCAATGTATATATCAAAGTATCATTTTCCAAAAGTAGGAAGATGGTTAGGGGTGAAAGTAATTGCTGTGCAAGTGAGAGAACATGAGTTCGAATCCCTGGAATCCACACAGAATCCAGGCATTCAACTCAAGTAATTGTGAAATCCCAGCACTCCGATGGGCAGTTGGGAAGAGGAAACAGGAAACTCCTCTGAAGTACAAAGGTCAACTAGCTTGAGGTGCCCAGCAGGAAAAACAGGGCTAGCCTGTCTCAAGCAAGGTTGAGGGTAAGCACCAACACCCAGCTTGTCCTGTGACCTTCACATGTACACAGTAGCATATACCCATATTCACACATGAATGTGCATGTGTACACACACATACATACAAAAAAAAGCATAGCTTGTGCAAATGAAAATGTGCACCTATTGAGGGTTCCTTTGTTTTCGATTTGTTTTGCTCCTGCTTTTTGAGACCAAGTCTGGCTATATATCCTGAGCTGGTTTGGAACTCACTTTATAGACCAGGCTGCCTTCAGACTCCTGCATCTGCCTTCTGAGTGCTGGGATTGGAGGGTTCCTTCAATCCATCGGTGTGGGAGCAAGAAGGGTGAGGTAGTCAATGTGAAAGGCTCGGTGTGAAGTATAAAGCATGGCAACAGGCAGAATGAATGCTAGAGTACAGTCTTGAAGTTAGACGCTGTGATGAGGCGTGTCTTCCAGGTCAATGAACTCCTATTCTTTAAGGGTACTGTTTATATTAGACAAGTCATTTGTGGATGATAGAACCAAATTATTTGCAAGTTATCAATCTTCCAAAAATTAGCACTGCATGTTCCCAAGCCCAGCCCAAACACCAAGTAAATAGTAAATCAGATCACAGTGTGGGGTCAGTAGGCACATGTGGCAGAGGGGCAGCCAATCATTTTCAGCTTCCTGGTCCCTGATGCTGCCGCTCAGTTCAGCAGCAGATGTACCAGTCACCACACTCACGGATGGGCGTGGCTGTATTCCAACAGAATGTTATTGACAAAACATCTGCATGCAGCCCATGCCCAAAGCTTTAGATGTCACCAGGCAGGACACTGGCAGGACGCTAGAGTAGCATCCAAAGGGCATGCAGTCATCCTCTGACTATTTCCAAGTTTTTTTTTCTTAACATACAAATATGGAAACTGAGAGGGAACGTAACTCGGATAACGGAACATGTCAGAGTGGGGATTTCAAGCCAGAAACCTCTCATCTCTTGGTTTTTTGGAGGCTAATATTCTGCCCACCTCTTCATATGGGAAGGCAGGCTGAGCCAAGGTGCAATGATGCACAGAAACATCCCCCACCCCTCCCCGTCACTTCCTTCCCAGCATCTCTAAAACCAATGAAGAATCTTTGCTTTCTTCCCCAGAAAGGAGACATAGTCAAGCAATCACTGGCCCTCAGCAGACAGGGAGTCCCTCTTGACACTTGACACATACCACGTGATGGCAAGTCAAGCAGTGGTCTCGTCCAACCAGAACCAGGAGAGTGTGGGGCAGGTCTGAAGGGGGAAAGGAAGGCAGTCATTAGTGCTTCCTGTCATCCCATGGGGATGGAAGACTTTGTTCTTTTTCCCTCTCAGATACAGTGGTTTCTCCCCAAACCCACCACAGCTGTCTCTCGGGGCATTACAGCCATGCCAAGAGAGATGTGACTGAATGCTGCCCCTGTATCTGGCCCTGGCCCTTTAAGCAAACCCTTGATCATCTCTGGGGCTTGTGGCTGCTTTGAAAAGGCACCTGACTAAGGGTGTAAAAGGGGGACTATGCGTCCCTGTGAAGCAGCTCCTATTGTACCCGATGCCCTGCACACGTCACCTCCTTTCTGTAACCTCAGATTCCTAGGCTAAAGGTTAAGGGCTAAGCAGACTCCAAGAGCACTGAGCCCAACACACAGTGCTCACTATTGAATCAGACACAATCTGAGCTCTTGACATTTGGGAATTCATTTCATCCTCTAACTACCCTTCGAGGCAGGTTTGCACCTTCATGTACACTCTATAAAAGAGGCACAAGGCTGTTAGGCTGGCTGCACAGGGCTCACAATGAGCAGGCATCAGAATCGGTGGTTAGCCCCACACTGCTGTAGAGAACTCACATTTAAATGCTTACCTGTCGCTGATGAGAATCCCCAGACCAGCAGGTTCTGGGCCGAACAGCAGGGCTGCTCACTCACAGAACATTCAAGGAGCAGCCATGTGTGATACCCCCAGTTTCCCAGCGTGGTGATTTCCCCAGCCTGACCCTCCCAGCTCCATCCCACCGCAAAGTCCTTCCCTGCCTTGTTCCGAGGGAGGGAGGGAAGGAAAGCAGGGGAGAGGAGGGGTTCTGAAGCCTATGGAGCATGCTCCAAACCCTCTGTCTCTCCACATGCTGAAGCCCACGATTAGATTTTTAAGGCTCTTTTACTCCAGCCTGAAACTGGGTGCTTGCCATCACGAGTCAGGGTGGGACAAAAGAACACAGGAGGGGAAGAAGTGGAGGAAAGACAGGAGGGGACGGGGAGAAGGGTGAGCTGGAGGAAGGGAGGAAGGAAAAGAGGTGAGAAGAGTTACATTTGAATCAGCTGAAGCCCAGACAGAGTCTCCCGTTCTCCCCCTCATCCCCCACAGGCCTTGCTGCCTGCCCAGAGCACCCTGCCGTGCAAGAAGAGTCTGTGAGAGATGGCCAACAGCGTTGTTTAGAGAAGAGCTCCCCCGACACCCCATGCACCGCGCATCCTGCCCTCCAGAGGCACGGCTTTCCCTCATTTTGAAAGTGTACCACTCAGCCTGAACAACAGGCAAAGCCTACATTTCCAGAGCCCTGTGCAGTGAACAGTGCGGCCAGCTCATACCCAGCTGCACAAGCCTCAAGCAGCACCAATCTGGCCCAGGCCACTTGGCCAGGAGCTGGTGGAGTTGGGGCTCCCATCTGGCCACAAAACCCATACTGCTCTGGCTCTCTCACCAGACACTGCAAAACCTCTCATCCGCCAGGGGGATACAGCCATCTGCTTCCCCTTCTGCCCTTGTAGAACCTCAAATGCTGGCCACTGGCCACTCACACAGTCTCCCAGCACCAAGATCACAGGGCAGCAGCTCAGGCAGCCGCATGTGGCCATGGGCTGCCTTCCGGCTCATGAACAGGGAAGTGAAACAGACAAACCGGCTTGTGCCCTCTAGAAGCCAAGCGGTGTCCCTGCTTCTCCCTTCCTGCCCACAACAGGAGGCTAGAGAGAGACCAGCTAGGCCAGGCCTGGACTGCAGGGAGAGAAGGGGGCAGCTGGGGCCCCCAGTGAGGCTGCAAGAGAGCAGCATGCTGCATATATTCCCGGAGTACCTCTCAGCTCTTCCTACTTCTGATCTTGCATCTTAGACCCTGAAGCATCTAGAAGGAGCCTCGGAGGGCATGTGTGAACAGAGTACCGACTGTGTGACTTCCAGCTGAACATGACCCTGTGCAGAAATGGGGGTGGGGCGGCACCATGCAGGATACAGGGAAGGCTGCATTGGCCAGTGGGGTTCCCCCCCCTGTGTGTGCTCCCCCACCCCCACCCCTTCCCAAGCCACAGCTGGGCCCCTCTTTCCCAAACATGATGTTTGCCATTGTTCTCAGAGTGACTCATGGTAATAACAAGCTGGAAGGGCATCCGTCCCTGGTGCAAGGTCCTGCCCCATGGGGCCCTTTCTTCCTCAGTCCTGAGCTCCTAGGAGGCTTTGCTTGCAGCATATGGTGTCTGCCTGGAACATCCATCTATCCTGGTAGATCTCAGGGAAGTGCCACTTCCTCAGGGACACCTGTCCCAACCCTGTGGCAAGTCAGCTCCCATCTGCCCAGAGCCTCCCATGGATTCTCCTCCGGTAGCTCTTCTCACGGCTATCCCCTTTCCTTAGCTCAGCTGTCAACCTTCACTGTCTCCCCTGGAGACTAGACACCAGAGCCATCTCTGCCACACTGGCCCCGAAGTCCCTAAGCCCAGCCCAGAGTCTGGCTGGCAGTGAGAGTCAGGAGCCATGGGGTGAATGAGACTCTAGGACGGCGTGGGCACCTGAGCAGAAGTGACGTGCCCAACATAGACAGCAAATGTCAAAGCTGAGCTTCTGAGACTGGATCCTGGTACAGGCTGTGCCCTCCGACCTTGAGGTCTGTCTCTTGCTATGCTAGTTCTGAGAAAATTAAAGAAATGCCACAGCTTGTCATGGCCTTCCTCTGTTTCAAGTGAACAGCTCACTACCTACCTACTTAGTAAGTCACACGGGTGCTCAGAGTCTTGGATCTACCATCTGCAACACAGGAGTGTCCATGGGATCTGCCCCTCTTGCATATTTAGAGTATCTCAATTTCAGAATGATGTACAAAGGAAGCATGCAATTGATTAAAGATTTTGGTCATCTTTCCTTGCTGTGCCTGTGGCTGTTAACTCACACAATATGGAAGATGTGACGGAACGAAGGCTCCAAGCCCACCTTTCAGAAAGATCAGCTTCTACTCCCTGTCTTTCAAAACTTACTGTCCCTGCTGTGAAGAAGCCCAAGAGCCTTAAGAAGGATGCAGGAAGCAGAGAGGAGAGAGGGGAGAGAGTCCATGACCAGTGCTGAGCCTGCAGATGATGACAGCAAGGGTTTGCATTGGGTGCCTGCTGTCCCAGGAAACACTTCTGTCCCCACTCTACCCCCATCAAGACTGCAGCTTAGAACACTGTGAGTGAATTGAAAGCAATAATTTTTTAAATCATCCAATTCTTAGGAAAAGAAGGAAGGAAAGGGGACTGTGAAGCAACAGCAGATACCAACATACCTCGGACTCGTCAAGCTTTGATTGTTTCTTTTTAATTATTTATTTTTATTTCATGTGGATTGATGTTTTGACTGCATGTATGTCTGTGTGAGGGTGTCGGATCCCTTGGAACTAAAACTACCATGTAGGTGCTGGGAATTGAACCTGGGTCCTCTGGAAAGTAGTCACCATTCTTAACCACTGAGCCATCTCCCCAGTGCAGTTTTGTTTGAGACATGTCTCCTTCGGAAACCCAGGCTGACCATGAGTCTGCAATTCTCTTAGCATCCTGAGTGCTTTGATTACAGATGTGTGGCATTATGCCCAGGCTAAAACTATTAATATGTATTCCAACTCAAGACAGTAGTGCCCCCCGGCAAGTGTTCTAAAATGTGGGGTGTGTAATAAATACCTCACTCTATCAGTTATGTTTCCAGAGAGAGAGAGAGAGAGAGAGAGAGAGAGAGAGAGAGAGAGTATTATAAACTTCCTTCTAAAGAAAGAAGCATGGTTTATCTCAAAACTGGTTTGAACCACATGAGGTGGCTGTCCAGAGTGGGCTGCTTGGAAGGTTATATTGAGAACACCTTGTAAAGATGTGTTTGGAGTCAGCATGGAAAAGGTGCTGTAATCAACTAGTGATGTCTGCTAGGGAAAGGAAAGAAACGACTCTTTTTAAGTAGGGTGAGCAAAAGCTTTACCTCCCAAGCTGAAACCCTGAGGAATAAATACATACATTGGGGTAACCATGTATACACTAGGACAGTCCCCAGATGAGACACCTGGTCATCTTACTTCCAAGCCACAAATAGAGTACCCACTGGCATGAAGCTTACAGATAGATAAGGGCTATCTGGACCCACAAACCCCTGAGACCCTGAACATTAATTTTTCTTTTAAGTACTCTGTTTCAGCGTGTGGTTAGGTATGAAGAATTGTTCTAAAGAACACATTAAAAATTAATTAAAAGACTTGCCTCTAATATTTAATCTTTACCACCATGTACTCTGAGTGATGTATTCCCAGGCAATGTGTCAGGTCCTGAATAATTAAAAGAGAATGAGGGTGTGACTTAGCCCCCGGCTGAGACTTATTAGGGGTGCAGAATCAGCTAAGAACCCAGCCAGCCTGGGGCCAAGTTCTGTACCACCTGGCAGAGTCCCATCCAGGTAGGAGGGGAGGTACAGTGCAAGCCCAGGGTAGCTTGGAGGCGCTGGAGCTAGGACCAGCTCTGTTCAATCATCAGTCCCTCAGATACCCCATCCTTCCCTCTTTCCTCCAGAGAAGCGGGGAGCAGTGAGTTGTGGAAGGCTTCCCCAGGCTCCATCATGGACTGAGAGCTTCCATATTTTCTCATCCTGGGCATGTGTTTCTTCATGTGACATCTAAGAAATGGAGACCTGAGTAAAAATCAATGGGAAGATTTAAGGTGAGACTTCCTGGGAACTGTCTCAGAAGCCTGCTTAAGATCAAGGCACTGGACATCTGCTCCCAACCTGACCACCCTTGGACATGAGTCTGTCGGGCCAATTCCACGGTGCAGTCCTGACACATGATCTACTTAGCATTTGGATCTCTACAATAACATCTGGTCTGTACTAATGGGAGAAAGTACTTGGGCACGATGTCTGGCAAACAGTAAATGCTCAACACATGCTAGTTTGGTATTTCTTGTTCTGGATTCTCTGCACACTGTGAGGACCTTGCTGGAGTATGAGAACCAGGCATCCTTTTCAGTGTGGTCACTGTACTGTCATCCTCAGAGGGAACTCACACTGTAGAAGAGTATCAGGCACAGTCCTTTGGGGTGCACTGTGCAGGGGAGAGTCCTAACCAGAGTTTCTTCCAAAGTCTCTCTTCTGAGCCTCCCTGCTCGGGCATTCCATCATTCGGTGTACTGAGCTGAGGACCTGGGCATGGTTTCCTTTTATCTGAAGATGTCCATCATCAGGTAAGAGGAGGAAAGAGAGGGAAGTTTTCGTCAGAACACTTATACATAAAATACAGTTGCCTGGGTTTGGGATATGAATCAGTTGATAAACATTTGCCTAGCCCATCCAATGCCCTAGGGTCCATACCCAACCCTGCATACATGCTGCAGAGTGGTGGCTTGTGCCTGTGATCCCAACACACAGGATCAGAGGCAGGAGGATCAAATGTTCAAGGTCATATACTCAGCCAATCTGAGATGCATAGACCTTGTCAACCACCACCGACATGGGGATTTCGTGGTGACAGGTCTCAGAAAAGGTGAGAAATCTCAGCTCTGGAGTCAGATATCCAGAGCTGGCTCAGGTGCCCACAGAATATCCATTATGCTATGTGGCTGTGGGGTGGCCAGCTGCATGGTGATTCTCAAGAACCACTGCTGATTGTTGAGGCCCATAATTCACCAGAGCTCTCATCAGACAGGGTTTGCAAGCCGAACAGTACAAGCTCAGGCTTGCTTCATTATAGAAGAATGTTGAGGATCAGCTCACTCACAGAACCCC